TTTTTTTTTTTTTTTTTTGGGGTACCGGCGATCGAACTTGGGTCCTTGCGCTTGCAAGGCAGGCCACCGAACCGCTGAGCTAAATCCCTGGCCCCCACAGCTCATTTTTATAATAATAAAGGCCAAAAGTTCCTCAGACTGCTTGATTTTTCTTTGTTCATCAGATTCAACAGTCTAATTTTTACTTTTTCTTTTTTAGTGGTACTGGGGGTGAACCCAGGGTTTTTGCTCTGAGGTATGTCCTCAGCCCTTTTCATTTTGGGAGTTTTTTGTTCATCTTGAGACAGCTTGCTGCTAAATTGCTAGGCTGGGTTCAAACTTGAAATCCTCCTGCTTTGGCTTTCCCGAGAGGTGGAATTACAAGTGTGCACCAACATGCCAGGCTGTCAGTCCACTTCTTCACACTAGGATTGTGAGAGTTGGTAAAGTTAAGAGCTACAGTACTTTTTCCTAGGCACTTGTTCTTTTGAGAAGTTTTTCCTTACTCAGCTTTAGTTCAGACTTTGACTTTGGCTTCATCTGTGAGCTTCCCGAAATCCTTCCTATAAAAAACAAAACAAAAAAACAAGTAAACATACTTTCAGTCAACAGACCTATTTCCTTAAATGAATAATATTAAGGTCGATGAGGTTAGAGGAGAAAGATTCTTTTAACCAAAGAGATATCCTCTTAATCTACATCTCATTCAGTGTATCTTAAGGAAGTGTTAAAACCATACTGGATTTTTCCCAGCAAGTTCTTTTGAGTTGAGTGGCCTACATTCCAAGAGAAGGAGCCAAGTAGAGGTACCTTAGTGCTGACAGGAGAATCCCCTGGAAAGGCTCCTAGAATTTCCTGGAAGCTGGTGACTCACAGATTTATTACAAGCAAAATATACCCTTAGTAGCAATCAAATGGAGGTACCTGGAAGGGTCTAGGTGTAGTCCCTGAGCTCTACCATGAGTACCACTTATAGGATCACTTTATAGGGTACTTCCTATGCATCAAGCACAAGGTGGCCAGACCTGTCTTTGAGCAAGGCCAGATTTCTTACTACCCCCTGTTGTGGTTGCAGTAAGGAACTGATGTGCAAGTCAGTAAGAAAATCCCTGTGTGAAGATCTTTGGGCAATAGAATGGGAGCTCAGAGAAGATCAGCTAATGCAGTCTTCTAGGATGGGGAGAGGAGAGCCTGAGAGATGGCTTCTAGGACGTGGTGCCTCTCAAGCTGCCACTTAACAAAGGAGTAGCTGGTGAGGGGAGATGTTGTTCCCAAAACAGAACTCCTTTGCCATTGTGTGGCATTGTGGGTCTGAGTGGACATATGGTTTCTAGAGTCTTCCAAGCCATCTTGGTCTGCAGATGGGTTTATGCCTGGAGAGTTAGTTTCACCCTTTTTGAGTAACCTGATTTGAGCAGTTTACAGTGTTGCTAAAAACTCTCATTACTGGGGATAACAGCATTGACCCTAGTCTATGTTTTCATTTAACAGGTGGCACACGCTTGCCTATGTGTCCGATTTGGGCAAGGTCTTTTCCTTTGGTTTTGGAGAAGAGGGACAATTAGGAAATAATGGAAAACATAATCAGCTGATACCACTGCCCATGAAATCAACATCAAATGAAGATCTGCAATTTGGTAAATTTTCTAGGAGAATGGGGTTTGGTACAATACCTTGTTACAAAAGTGATTTTTCTAAGTATATGATTTGATAAGAAAAGCAGTGTGCGAATATGAAGGGAGTTTCTCTGAATATGGGTTTCCTGTGTTTAATTGTAAATAATTTAAAACATTTAAGCTACCTTCTTAAGTCTAAATAATTATAATTTTCCTGTTAGTTCTTAAAATTAGGGTTAATGTAAACTAGAGCACTGACATGCAGCCCAGGTTTCAGTTTGTCAGAGACTTAACTGCAGGATGATTGGTGTTCCTAGCTGGTTTCCTTGACCCAGGATCTTGTAAAACCCTCAGCCGACATGCACACAGGCCTGGGAATTGTGCCTCACATTTACCTGTATTTTCTGTCTTACCATCGTCATAATGGTTTGGGAGATGTATTCTCTTCATCCTCCTGTCACCAGAGGATACAGAGACTTGGAGAATAAAGCCAGTTCCTCAAAGCCACTAGCTCACAGTCAGGAAGTATAACCCAAAGCCTGAGCTCTGAAATGCTCTGTGTTAGAAGCACCTTGGAGCAGTTGTGTCGGTTCCCAGAAGCTTAGCAGAGTTAAATGGCACATGCCTGTAATCCCAGGCTAAAGCAAGAGGATCTCTACAAGTTCAAGGCCAGCCTGGGCTCCATAGTGAGTTTAACACAGTGATGGCGAACCTTTAGAGCTTTCATTGATAGCAATCAGCTCTCTGTGGAATGCATGACATAGGTTTTCCACCATAGGTTTATAACTAGTCTGAACTACATAGTGAGATCCTGTCTCAAAAAAAAAAAAAAGAAAAAGAAAAAAACAGCCAAGCATGGTGGCGCATGCCAGTTATCCCAGCACTTGTGAGGCTGAGCCAGAAGGATCATTGTGAGTCCAAGGCCAGCTTGAACTACATAGGAAGACCTTATCTTTAAAAAAAAAATCAAAAATTCTAATTTCTTCTGAGAAAATAAGCAGTGGAGTTACTTCTTTAACCAGTTCATATTTTATCTTTGAGTTTTTATAAAGTTACATTTTTCACAATCACTGGTTAAATCTTGAGATGGTGGATTTTAGTTATGAGAGCTGGATTAAACTATCAACTAGTGAAATATTTGTATCATATATATAGAGTTCTGATATATAATATATGTATCTATAATTCCTAGTGGTGGGAAAATTTCTGTCTTTATTACAAAGATAAAGTGACTATATTTAAGAATCTGAAATTATTTAAATTGAGTGTGAAAGTTCACACCAGCATGACTTTTATGTATTCATATTTTGTGTATGTGTCCTTTCAGAAAGCCATCACTCACAAAAGGAATTGCTAATGATTGCTGGAGGGAATCAGAGCATTTTGCTCTGGGTGAATAAAGAGGTAAAAATAAATCTCTACATGTTCTGTAACTTAGTACTTGAAACAAAATAAAGGGTTCTAAAATCCAAGTTTGGTGAACTATAAAATTATCAGGTTACTGGGCTGACTTTGGGAATAGATAGACATTATAATTCTTTTATTGTCCAAATTACATTCATTTTTACCTGCAAAAATCATAGATTTTCCTGTTGAGTGTTAGTGTGATTTCTTTGACCTTACCTACTTTTGGGGCACTTCTTGTCAGTGGCATCATTCAGTATCCTAGTGAGTTGATAAACAGTGTTGCTCATCAGTACAGTACTAAAAAGACCCAAAGTCAGTTAGTACTGCTAGCGATAATCAATCGTCAATTTCCTTGTGCTTCTTCACCAAGGGAAATCAGGTTCTCCTCTTTTACATGGCCCTTTTAGGATCTTCCCCTCAAGGCTGTCTGCTGTTCCACTTTATCTGTTGTACGTATATAAAGTGCTGAGTGGAACCCTCAGAGATACTTGCTTTGTATTAACTCCAGGATATATTAGCCATATTTAAAAATCAGCCAGAGACAATGGTAAATACTTATAATCCAAGAATTTAAGGAAGCTGAGGTGGAATCAGTTAAGCCTGAAGAGATCAAGATCAGATTGGGCGATGTTGATCCTATTTGAAAACAGACAAAAAATAGTGTTATCCTGTAATTTTAGAATGTGCCTAAAACTTGAATACCCATATTTTATGTGTTGAAAGTATTGTATTTTATGTTTTTGTTTGTTTACAGAATTCCTATGTTAATCTGAGGAGGAAAATTCTTACACTGAATGAAGGGACTGTAAAGAGATGGATTAATGGCGTGGGAACAAAACAGTGGCAGAATACCAAAAGGTGCACACTACGTGTCTGATGATGCTTCTGTCTTTAAAGCATCGTGTCCCGGACTGCTTATGCGCAACACAGAGGCATGAGAGTCTCTGGTCCTCTAGCATATTTGTGTTTTTCAGACACACAGAACCAGTAGGATGTTTATAGCTGTCCGCCTGTTGAAATTTCAAGACTGTATATCTTAAGAAATTGGCTCCTGTAATTGTGGGGTTGATAAATCTAAGTCTGTAATGTGGTCCACTAGGCAGAGACCTAGGGAACAGCTGATGTTATAGCTTGAGTCCAGAGGAATGCCTTTTTTCTGGGTCCCATATTTTTTTTTTCTTTAAAGAAGGCTTTCAATGGACTGGATGGGGCTCTGCCCCATACATGTGATGTGGGATAATACAGCTTACTCAAGCCTCCTGATTTAAATGTTAATCCTGCTTTAAAAGCATCTTTACTAAAAGAGCTGGGATAATGGTTTACCAAATATCTGAGTACCATAGCCTAGCTAAGTTAACACCTAAAAGTAATCATCATAAGACCAGCATTTAGCTCAGTGGTGCTGCTGCCTGCCTTGCAAGTGCAAGGTCCCAAGTTCAATCCCTGATACCAAAAAAAAAAAAAAAAAAAAAAAAAAAAAAAAAAAAAAAAAAAAACGTAAGTACATAAATAAATAAAAGTAATCATCACAACTCTCCTGTAAACTCCATGAGCACAGCTTTCTTGGCTATAGGATTTCTCAAGAGTCTGTCTTCAGTGTGTTTCCTTCCATGTACTGTGATTCCAAGCAGCAAACATATTCCCTGGCATTTCCCAACTCTTTTCACTTTGAAACTACTTTTTTGTGCACCCCGGGTTTGCAGCTAAACAGGATATTCCTGCTCTAAGCCATAGAATCTGTGATCTATAGATTGTGCTCCTTTTTACAAGCATCTTTCTGGTAGAAGTAGTTTTAGTTCTGGCTTTCTTATTCTGGAAAACGGCTGTACAAAGTAGTTGTTTTGTAATATGCAGAACAGAAATGATGAAGCATCTGTGCACTTAAAAGGTTTCTTTAAGATACAGTAATTTATATCCTTCACATTTCAGCAGAGAAGTAATAAATAGAGCTGGTGAGATTGGGTGAGATAGGAGTATTTTATTTGTCCTAGAAGGGTCTGACCCCAGATCAGGCCTTTTGTTCTTTCCCTGAGGCTTCAATCTGTACCTTTCTATTTCGGTGTTTGCTGCTGACCAATTGCGATTTAGCGAACAGTGCAGACTTTTAGATGCTGAGATAATATACAAACAATATTGAGGGAGAAATTTGAAGGATAGTTATATGTTTTATTTATCATATCTCATTTTGTATGGGGTATATTGTATGATTTGGTTCAGCCCACTCTCTCTTCTTAATGTAGGGAAATCCGAGAGATTTTTTCATCTGCTGCTTGTCTGACTGGAAGTTTCTTAAAGGAAAGGTAATACATATAATAAATTAGAGCTCTACTAAAAGTATTGTGAAAGTAAATAAAGAGTGGCTCCAGGGCAAAAAGTTATGTGTTTATCTACTTTTATAAAATGCTTCCCTTTTGTCAACAAATGTAAATATGTACTTGCTGTATAAAATGTCAGAAATACAGAGGCTTTAGTGGATCACTTACCTTGGTAGATCATTTACATAGCATGTGCCAGGCTTACAACACATACACCCAGAAGATACCCACACAAAGTAAGAAAGTCATCCATTATCCATCACTTAAGAGTAATACCAGTTCAAGTTGCATATAAATAATAGTTAAGCCTGTATTCTAGCCTCTAGTGAGGGGAAGGCAGGAGGATGGCAAGTTCAAGATCTTTTTAACGAGGCCTTGCCTCAAAATTTTATTTTATTTCATTTTTTTCTCATTGAGTTTATCGGTACATTTTAGGTATACAGCACAGTTACATTCATCATTGGGATCTTGTACCTTTATATGACAAGTCTTGTTCTCATTCTTTTCCCCATACCCCTACCCTCCGTTCACTCCCTCCTCCCTTCCCTATTTACAAAAACTTTTATTTCCATTTTTTCATTTTTCTCATATTTTTTTCTTTTCCCTTATTTCCTTTTCAAAATTTTAAAAAATCAAAAGTACTGGGGATGTAGCTCAGTGGCAGATCACTTGCCTAGCTTGTTCCAGGGTCCAGGTTCAGTCTGTAAGTAAGTAAGTAAGTCTGTAAGTAGATGCACACAGGGAACTGTAATTTGAGCATAGGCATTAGGCCAGTCTCTTGTTACATGCAGTGGGCCACAAAGAGGTTTGGAGAAGGTTTCCTCCCATTAAAAGGTGAAAAAATAGCTCTAACTAAGAGACTGCTGAGTAAACTTGTAAAAAAACATGAATAAATAAACTCATGGATGTACCCTTTATCTTCCACTGGCTCTAACACTCCCAGTTCAGTATTGGTGGTAGCTCTAGAATTTACCAATCTAGACCAGCGAGCCATTTGTTCTATGACTTATTTACAAATTCATTGTATTTTTGTTTTTGTCTAAAAAGCATAAAAGTATAATGCTTTGGTCATTTCTTCAGACTTCATTGTCTTGTAAAGATCCTCAAGTACAAGTAATTTTCATAAAAACTTGCTTGTTTTTCTCTTGTTTATATCTTATATGTGATAAGTTAAAGCAAGTTATATGTGAAATTTTGAAATATCCTTTTCGGTTTATGTGGCCTTTCACAATTCTTATTTTCAAAGAGGAACTGGAGAAACAATTTCCATTGATGTGGATTTACAGATGGCAAGAGATACCTTCAAGAAGTTAATGGAGGAGGAATGGATTTCTTCCATGGTAATAACCAATACTTACTTGAGAAATAGAACAGTGGTTTTGTACAGAAACAGACATAATTGCAGTTGCGTTCTCTGAATACCTAGTAATAGAGTACTATGGTTGGGAATGGAACAGGGGCTGGTATTCATTATAAAATCACTATAATCCACACTGTATTAAGTGCTGGCATTATTTTCTTACTAAATGTACCATGGATACAGTACTTATGTCTTCAGTATGAGAAAAACCATGCTAGAGAGTTAAATAGGTTGCAGCAAGATACACAAAAAAAGCATTGGTTTTGGAAACAGCACACTCATGTCTCAGTCTGGGAGATTGGTACCTCAGATGTATTCAAGATGAACCTCTGCTACTGATTCATTCTTTCTCATTTTTGAGTCAATTTTCTATATTTATAATTCATTTTATCTTTAAATTGGTAAATTTATAAGGTAAGATTCTGGGTTATGTAGGAAGGAGAACTTTTTCTCTACCTATTTAAATGTTGTGTGGGGAATAAGAGAGGGAGTTGAATTAACAATACACAGATAAATAGAATGTCTTAGTGCTGTGGGACTGCTATAGCAGAATACCATAGTCGAGGTGGTTTATAATCAATAGAAATTGGCCAGATGTGGGGTGCGTGCCTCATGTGCTGGATACCTGGGAGGCTGAGGTGGGAGGGCCATTTGAGCCCAGGAATTCAAGACCAACCTGAGCAACACAGCAAGAGCTGATCGCAAAATAAAACAAAAAAAAATTTACTCCTCACAGTTCTAGGGGCTGGGAAGTTCAAGATGAAAGTGCTAGAACAGTTAGTGTCCAATGAGGGCCCACTTTCTGATACACACGACTGTATTTTTGCTCCACTCTCAGGTAGAGAGAATGAGTGAGTGGTTTCTCTTGGGCTCATTCATAAGGGCACTACCAGTAATTTTTGTTTATGAGGACTCTGCCCTTGGGTTTGAATTACCTACTAAAGTCCCTACTTAATACCAATACCATTAAAAAAGGTATTTTATGAGGACAAGTGCAAAGTGTGAAAGTTTGTGGTAATTTTCATTTGTATAGTTTCTTATCCAAGGGCAAGTGATTGGTCTCTTTCTGGGCCCAGAAGCCATTAAGAGAGTCCCTGAGGCAGCTTTTCTCTCAGAAGGTCCTGCTTAGTCAGACAGAGAATCATAAAGCCTCTGCCTGTGTCACTCTACCTCAGAGGTCTTCAGTTTTTGGTTTGTTTTGTTTTGCTTTGTTTTATTGGTACTGGGGATTGAAATCAGGACCTTGCACTTGCAAGGCAGGCGCAGCACCATTGTGTTAAATCTCTGGCCCCAGTTTTGGGGGTTTCTTTGTTGCTCTTTTGTAGTACTGGGAATTGAACCCAGGATATATAGAACATGCTAGGCAAGCACTCTACAAGTGAGCTACACCCCTAGCCCTTTTCACTTTTAATTTTCAGACTTGGTCTTCCAAGGTTGCCCAGGTTGCCCAGACTTGTGATCCTCATGCCCCAGCCACCTGTGTAACTGGGACTACAGATGTGTTTTGGGGCCATGCCTGAAAGTATTTCCTATTACCTTCACCCACACTCCTTAGCTAGAACTCAGTGACATGGGCCCATGCAACTGCAGGGGAGGCTGGGAAATTCTATCTTCCTATGAATCCAGAAGGAAAGTGAAAGAGATTGATGAGGAGAACATAGGGCATTTTCTCTGCCATGTTAGATTTTAGATCTGGATGTGGATTCCAGTGACAGAATTGCAATGTGTCATTAATTGAATGGCTTCTTTTCTCTACCCTTTTACAATGAAATATCTCCTTCCTCATCTATAAAGCGAAGTTTTCAAATAAAAAGGGTAAGGAAAACCTGCCACACATAACTATGCATAAGATTAATTAAATTGATATAAATAATATCACCTGGTACATGGTGAGTACTCATTGGATGTGAAAATACACAGAATATCATACAAATCATTCCCAATAATAATTTTTACATGCATTCTGCTTTGACAGTTTATTTCTGGATAAAATAAACAATCTAAAAATATAAAGCTATATTGCTCTGAAAATTTTTGACTAATAAATGAGAAAGCAGAAGAAATGGATTGTGTGTGTGTGTGTCTGTGTGTGTGTATACGTGTGGGAGAGGGTAATAGCTTCTCTTGCAAGCGAGAGGAATATTGATGTAACCTATATACAATTATGTTTCTATACTGATTTTTTTTTTGGATGTGGTCCCGTTATATTGCCAGGCTGATCTTGACTTCATGGGCTCAAGCAGTCCTGTAGAGTAGAGGCACATACCACTGAGCCCAATTACACTGTTGCTTTTGGGGGATTATAATTGTTTTGAATGTGCTTCACTTGTTATGTTCATGCACATGTGATTGCACTTTACTTTATTCACACACCCTGATACATATTAAAGTGGCAAGGATGGCTCTCCCCTGTATTACGTCAGGGTCATTTGAAGTATAAGGAATGGTGGTTATCAAAAATAGGTTGCAAAAAAACAAAATCATTATTGCGATTGGAACATGGTAGAATGAAGTCCTTGATTCCATAGCTTGATTCTCAGAATACTTGGCATCTAATGCGATCTGGTGTTTTCCCTGATTGTGTTTCAACACAGATAGTTACATGTCTGGAGTCCAGTCTGCTCAGAGCTCTTCCATGCCATTCGCCACACCAAGAAGCTCTGTCCGTTTTTCTCCTGCTCCCAGAATGTCCTGCAATGCACGATTCTAGCAACTGGAGGAGCCTGGTGATCCCGTTTGCACAGGCAGTTTGTAAAATGAGTGACAAATCTTCACAAGTCCTGAGTAAGTTTTATGTCACATTATGCATTCAATAGAGTCACTGTCTGAAATGGAAATTATAGAAATTTTGGACAAAAGATTTCAAAATATACACATTTGAATGCATGGTATGTGAATTACTGCAGAACATGTCCTAAATCAGTTTAAACTTACTATAACCATTGCTCTTACCATACAGAGAAAGTATAGTTCTTAGCCTTGAATGTTTAACTATAGAGTATCCAATCAAGATAAATCCATACTTTAAATTTTTTTGGCTTATGTTGTTTTGAAACTTCAAATGTTTTTACAAAAGGTGGTGAAAAATAAATGTTAAACTTTGTATTGTTTTTAAATTGTTATTTATTTATTTATTGGTACCGGGGATCAAACTCGAGTTCTTGCACTTGCAAGGCAGGCAGCAGAACCACTGAGCTAAACCCCCAGCATGTTGTTATTGTTTATTTGACTCAGTATTACAGAATGCCTTTTTATAATTTTAAGCTAATATTGAGGGTCTAAAAGTTCAAGGTACAAGGGATATGTCCAGTGAAATATGTGCCACTGAGTTCTCCTAGAAGAGGGTTATAGATTCTAGATTTGTGTAATTTTAAAAGACATTCTAAGCATGTAAATGTACACAAAATAGTCTTTTTGCATGTCTTTGTTTTCATTTTTTAAGATAGGGACTTGCTGTTGTGTCCAGGGTGTCCTTGAACGTGCAGTCCTCCTGCCTCAGCTTCCCATGTGTTGGGATAACAGTCGTGTACTACCACAGCTAGCTTTTCTTTATTATTTTAGTAGTAGGAAACCATTCATATTCTTCCTTTACAACTTCTTCTTTCTTAATGGTGAATCAATGCAAACCCTTCCATTGCAAGAGCAGTAGAACCATCTTAATCTGTTTACTGGCTCTGTCAATGAGCTTGTCATTACTGTAACAAAATACCTGAGGCAGGCTTCTTATGGAGCGAAGTTATTTAAATCACAGTGCAGGAGACTCAAGGGTGTGGTGCTGGCATCAGCTCTGTGCTGGTGAGGGTCTTCTGGCTGTGTCACTTCGTGGTGATGGTAATGGCAGGAGCATGTGTGGCAGAGGATGATCACATCCTAATACAGGAAGCCAAGCACCGCATTGGGCCAGGCTTGGGATTTTTAAGCAATACTCTCCCAAGAACTGCCTTAATCCCACCTCAGGATGACCTCCCGCAAGGCCTCACCTCATAATATCCTTAGCATTGCCACATGGGGGCCAGGCTTCCAACACCGGGCTCCTTGGGAGACAAAGCAAATCCACACCGTAGCACTGGCTGAAGAGGATTCCTTTGGGAGGATGTACTGTGGGTGACTCTGTGTTCTCTTTGTAGCTGTAACAGTGCTAACATGCCTTCCTTTGTGCATGTGTAAATGTACACATGCAGGAAAGTTTCCAGGAAGCAAAAAGTTTCCAGCATCAAATTACCCCATTTTTATTTTGAGAAATTTTGCCAAGTGATCTTCACTGAAGGGACAGCCACAGTGTCACCCAATTTGAAGTGGCCTTCGTTCATATTATGTATGTAAACTACAGCTCTTGAATGGAACAGCAGGGCAACTCTGACAGTGGATATATCCATTGAAACTGCATCAGTGAGTATCAGCCCACGTTCTATATAAGGGCGTCACCAAGCTGTGATCATTACCATTCTGAAAAAAAGCCTCTTCATTAAAATTTGAGTTGTTCTTATAAATGGGGATGTACTGTTGTTCTTAAATCTTAGGACCATTTTTTAATCATCTCCTATAAACTACTAATTGTTCCTTTTGTTGTGTTCCCATTGGTTGCGTGTTCTTGTATTTTGTTTTAGAAGCTTTTAAACTGTGGAAGGCAGTGGATCCTTTCATTTATAATAGGAATTGAAAGAATGTTTTTCCTTAGGCTATTTGCTTTTTAAATTTTACTTTGTGGTATTTTTGTCATAAATAATTATTTTTAAACATTTTATGTTTCAGATATTGTAATATTTTCTTTCATGGTTTCTGGTTTTGGGGGCCATCCTTCAAAAATCCTGCTTGACGCTGAAAATTTTTTATTCATTAATTTTATTGGTACATTTTAGGTATACAATATGATGACATTCATCAATGGGAATTTGTACCTGTACATGATATATCTTGGTTCTTATTTTTTTCCCCATTCCTCTGCCCTCCCTTCAGCACCTCCACCCTTCCCTATTTACAAAGACTTTTTTCCAGTTTTCCTTTTCTCATATTTATTTCATTCCCTTCTTTCCCTACACCTACCCCTCCCACTTCCCCTTCCCCTTTGGACCTTTTCTTCCTTTTTTGCATTATCTATTATGCACTTTGATCCTTATTTACACTTTTAGTTTCTCACACCAGAGAAACTATTTGGTATTTACACATATGTGTCCTATTTATTTATTTTTTTAATCTTATTGTGTTTATTGATACTTTTTAAGTGTACATTAAGAGTATTGCCTCAGTGTTCATCCATTTAGCTATAAATGTCTAACTTCTCATTCTTTATGGCTGAGTAGTACAATTGACCAGGTGAAATAGGAAGAAAATGGCTAAAGGTGTAGGGAAAGTGGGAAGGGTAGGGGAAAGGTAATAAGGGAAAAGAAAAAAATATGAGAAAATGAAAAAGTAGAAATGAAGTGTTTGCAAATGGGGAGGGGAGGAGGGGGTGAAAGGAGGGCAGGGACAAGAACCAAGACCTGTCATGTAAAAGTACAAGATACCAATAATGAATGTAACTGTACTGTATACCTAAAATATACAAATAAACTCAATTTTTTAAAATGCACTTTTTATTTAGTCTCCAGTTGATGGGCAACTGTGCTGTATCCAAGTTTTAGCTATTACAAACTGTGCTGATACAAACATGGATGCACATATATCACTGTGGCATGCTTCTTTTCATTCTTTTGGGAAGATAACCCAGTAGGGGAATTAGCTGGGTCTAATCCTAGTTTTTTGAGGTAGCTCCATACTGATTTCTACAGTGGTTGTACCAGTCTACACTCCCACCAACAGTGGAGAAGGGTTCCTTTTTCCCCACAGCCCTGTGAGCATTTGTTATTGGTTGATTTCTTGATAGTAGCCATTGTTTCTAGAGTGAGGTGGAATCTCAGCATTGTTTGCATTTGCATCTCTCGAATGACCAGTGATGTGGAAGGTTTTTTCGTATGTTTGTTTGCTATTTCTACTTCTTTGTCTGAGAAATGTCTGTTCATTTCAGATGCCCATTTTTGGAGTTGGTCTTTAAATTTGGGAGGTCTGATTTTTTTAAAGTTCTTTATACAGTCTAGATAATTGACCTTTGTCTGAGGCACAGTTAGTAAAAATTTTTTGGCAAGTTGTAGTTTGTCTCTTCACTCTGTTGGTGACTTCTCTTCCTATACAGAAGTTTTTTAATAAGAGATCCCACTTGTTGATTTCTTTTGTGCTAGTTCATGTATGACTGGGGTTTTTTTCATGAAATCTTTGCCTTTACCACTGTCTTCAAGAGTTCTACCTAACCTCTCTTCTAGCTGGTTTAGTGTTTCTGTTTTAATATGTAGCTCTTTGATCCATTTTGATTTTAGTCTAGTATATGGTGAGAGATATAGGTCTAGTATTAATCTTTGGCTAGTTGAGCACCATTTTATTATTACAGTTTTTTGAGCACCATTTTATTATTATACCCATCTTTCCTCCAGTCAGGGTGTTTGGTTCCTTTGTCAAAGATGAGATCAGTGAATATGTCTAGAGTTATTTCTGCATCTTCCAATCTGTTCCTCTTATCCTCAGATCTGTTTCTTTGCCAGTACCATGCTGTTTTTACCACAGTAGCTTTGTAGTATAGTTTCAGATTGGGAACTGTAATACTCCCTACCTTGTCTTTGTTGCCCAGAATTGCTTTTGCTATTCTAGGTCTCTTCTTGTTCCAAATGAATTTTTATTTTTTTCCCAAGGTCTGTGAAATATGCTGTTAGAATTTCAGTTGGGATTGCAGTGACTATAGAGCAGCCTTGGAAGTACGGCCATTTCCACTATATTGGTTCTTCCTACCCAGGATTTCTTTCCATTTTCTGATGTCCTCTTTTGATCTCTTTTTTTCAGAGTGCTGTAGTTTTCAGAGTAGAGATCTTTTTCTTTTTTTCTTTTTTTTTTTTCATTAGATTGAGTCCTAGGCATTTCATTTTTTTTTTTTTTTGTAGAGATTTTTTTTTTTTTTTTTTTTTTTTTTTCATTAGATTGAGTCCTAGGCATTTCATTTTTTTTTTTTTGATGCTATTGTGAAAGGGGTTGTTTCTCCAGTTCCTCTCCAATTGAATCAGTTGTTTATATACAGGAAGGCTGTTGATTGTTGTGTGTTGACCTTGTATCCAGCTACTCTCCTGAATTTGGGTATGAAGTCTAGAAGACTTTTGGTGAAGTTCTTGGGGTCTTCTATATAGAATATCATGTTGTCTGCAAATAATGAAAATTTGACTTCTTTGTTTCCTATTTTCATTTCTTTATCTTCTCTAATCACTATAGCTAATCTTTCCAAAACTATATTGAACAGGAGTGGTGGTAGTGGACATATTTGTCTTGTTCCTGATTTTAGTGTGAAAGATTTCAGTTTTTGACCATTTGGTACAATGTTGCCTGTTGATTTTTCACAGATGGCTTTTATCTGGTTGAGACAGACTGTCTATTCCAATTTTCTGTAGGGTTTTTATCATGAATGGGTGTTGGAATTTGTCAAATGCTTTTCCTGCATCTATTGAGATGATTGTCCTTGGCTTTATTAATATAGTATATTACATTTATTGATTTGCATATGTTGAACCATCCCTGAATCCCTGGGATGAATCCCACTTGGTCAGGGTGTATGATCTTCTTGATGATCTGAATTCTGTTTGCCAGTATTTTATTGAGGATTTTTGCATCTATGTTCATTAGGAAGACTGACCTATAGTTCTTTTTTCAGTTGGGTCTTTCTCTACTTTTGGAATCAAGGTGATGCTTGCTTCCAGGAATGAATTTGAGAGTATTACTTCCCTTTCAATTTCATTGAAGAGTTTAAAGAGTAGTGACAATAGTTTTTCTCTGTCTTATAGAAGTAAAGCCATCAGGACCCGGGCTTTTCTTGGTAAATTTTTAATTACATTTTCAATTTTGTTGATTGATACTGGGTTGTTTAGAATTTTTAGGTATTCTTCATTCAACTTTGATAATTCATATGTATCTAGAAATTTGTCTATAACTTCTGAGTTTTCTTTCTTACTGATGTATAGATTCTCAAAGTAGGCATTGATGATCCTCTGGATTTCTCCTGGGTCCATTGTAATTTCACTCTTTTCATTCCAAAATGCATAGATTTGGGCCTTTTCTTTCCTTTTTTTTTTTTTTTTGGATAAGGTTGCCTAAGGATTTATCAATTTTATTTATTCTTTCCAAGAAATGACTCTTTGTTTCATTGATTTTTTGTATTGTTCCTAGTCTCCATTGCACTGATTTCTGCTCTAATCTTCATAATTTCCTTCCTTGTATGAGCTTTGGGTTTGTCCTGCTCTTTTGTTTCTAGAAGCTTGAGGTTCAGCATTAGGTTGTTTATTTGAACTCCCTCTGTTTTCCTAAATATTCACTATTGTGAATTTCCCATATAAGACTGCTTTCATTATGTCCCATAGATCCCTATGCATTGTATTGGTATTATCATTTAATTATGGAAACTGTCTCATTTCTTCTTTAATTTCTCTTTGACCCATTGGTTGTTCAGATGTGTGTTGTTTAATTTCCACGTGTTTATGAAATTCTTGTTGTTTCTTTTGCTATTGACCTCCAATTTCATAGCACTATGGTATGATGTTACACAGGGGATAACTTCATTTCCTCTGCATTTACTTAAACATGTTCTGTGAGGCAGTATGTGGTCTATTTTGGAGAACAACCCATGTGCAGCTGAAAAGAATGTGTATTCTGATTTTGGGGCCAGGACACTCTGTAAATATCTGTTAAGTCCATTTGTTCAAGAGTTTGATTGTGTTCTAATATTTTATTGTTTGTTTTTTTTTGTCTAGTTGATCTATCTATTTATGACAGTGGGGTATTGTGTTAGTGCTTATTTGATTTTTTCAAGTCCATTAATATATGTTTTATATAGTTGGGTGCACCAGTATTTGATGCATTTATATATATATGTGTATAAAAAAATGTATAATACCAAATATTGACAAGGGTTATGGAGTAAAAGAAACTTTCACATACACTCGGTAAATATATAAATTATATTTAAGAACATTTTGTTATCACCTAGCATTCTTTCTTTCTCTTTTGGTACCGGGGATTGAACTCGGGTCCTTGCGCTTGCAAGGAAGGCCACCGAACCGCTGAGCTAAATCCCCGGCCCCTTTATCTCTCTTAATTAGTGTTGGTTTGAAATCCATTTTATGATACTGAAAATTTTTTACTAATTCCCATGCTCCAACTGTAATTTTAATTTTATAAATATATTGGTATTTCTGATGGACTCATAGTAATTATATGTATATTTATGAGTCTAGTGTGACATTTCAGCACAGTGTATTAGGCCAGAGTAATTGGCATATTTATCATCTTAGTCATTTATCATTTCTTTGTGTTGAGAACATCCAGAGTCCTCTCTCCTAACTACTTTGAAATGCTTAATCATTGTTAGCCACAGTTCTTCTGTCATGCTTAGAACACAAGAAGTTATTCTTCCTACGCAGCTGAGCCCTGCACCACTTAGCCACCCTCACAGCAGCCCTGCCTCCCCCACTCCCAGGCTCTGGTCACCACTTTCTTTCTCCAAGGTCATCTTTCGGCTTCCTTGAGGAGAGAAGAGCATGCCGTGGGTCTTCCTGCACCTGGCTTACTTCACTTAAAGTGATGTCCTCCAGTTCTACCCATGCCGCCAGTCACACAATTTCATCTTCTCCATTATATTCTTTATTAGTTTATTTTTGTTTAAATCTTTGATTCATATGGAATTTATCTTGGTTAAATGTTACTCTTTTTTTGGTACCGGGGATCAAACTTGGGTCCCTGTGCTTGCAAGGTAAGTGGTGGAACCACTGAGCTAATTCCCTGGCCCCAAATGTTAATTTTTTCTGTGTCTGTTCCAATTGTTCCTGCAAGTTTATTGAATGATTTATTTTATTCTCATCAGTAAGCAATGCCAGCTTTTTTGTATGCTAAAGTCTTTTTGTGTAGTTGAGACCATATAAGGAATTTCTACTCTGCTTTACATGCAGTTTTAATTACTGGTTAATACTGTTTTAATTACATTATCATGATAATTTATATTAACATTTGATTGTTGTTTTCTGAGAATTGTTCTTTTAATGTACCAAAGTCCAGTTTGCAGTCTCAGTAACATTAAAATAAAGTAATTCACTTGTTTTTGAAAATCTGTTTCCCTCTATAACCATTGTTCATAAAATCTAAAAGCACACGAGATGATAGTTTCATTTTTACAGATGAAAGTTTCCTCCTATTTTGTGTGTATGTGCAGCCATGTATCATTTTCAGATCATGTACTATGGGCTGGAGATTTAGTGTAGTGGCATTGCATCTGCCTCACAAATGCAAGGTTCTGATTTCGATCCTTGGTACTGGACAAAAACAAACAAACAAACAAGAACATAGCCTATAAAATTGTTAGTTTGAAAGTCAGATTGTCAGTAAATTAAACGTAAATATGAACCATCAACAAATTTCCTCAAATCTTGAATTTGAGTTTTAATCTTAAGAATACTTAAGGAAAAACCCTTGTCTCCCACATCAGTTAGTAATAAGTGTTGTGTATGCTGGCACCATTAAAATGAGATGTGTTATGGGTTATGTCATTTTAAATGGGAAATTTATTTCTTACATTAAAGAACCCAGTAGAAACTGAGGGAACCAGGGGCTGAGATGAAGACCATATTTATCACAGTTGATTTCTCCTCCCATCCCCAGAAAAGTGTTGGGCATCTTTGGAAGCAGCTTCTCTGAACACAGTGGTCCAGATGCTTAAAACAGCCATCATCTCTGAACTGCCTTACCTGCCCACAGAATTTCAGAGTTACAGTAATATTAAAACTCTTCTAGAGATAATGAAAGAAGTGCATGAGGTAAGGGTTATGCTAAAGGTTTGTATGCAACTATTCATTCATTTTTGTGGTACTGGGAATTAAACCTAAGCTTTTATGTGGAGCTCTATCTTTATCCCTTTTTTATTTTTGGAAAAGATCTCACTAAATTGCCTTTGCTGTCCAGGAGATTGAGATCCTCTTTCCTCAGCCTCCTGAGATATTTTGGTGACTGGTGTGACCCACCAAGACTGGCTTACACAAATTTATTAGGTTAGAACCTTTGCTGCCTCAGCCAGTTGGAGGGATGGTGCTGCTGGTGGTGATTGTTTTCAGTACTGGAGATTGAAACCAGGGACTTCACACTGAGCTCCATCCCCCGCCCTTTTTATTTTTGAGACAGGATCTTGCCAGATTTCCCAGGCTAGCCTCAAACTTACATTCCTCCTGCCTCAGCCTCCTGGAGCTGGGATTACAGGAAGGTCCCACCTCACCTGGTTTCATTAGTGTCTTAATAAGTCAGATATCAGTCATAGGAATCAAGTACTGTAGTGCTTTGGTTCATAAACTTCATTTGTTCTATAATTTTGGAATAGATGGCCGTATTTGTGTTTATGTGGGGAAAACTGGCTGCAGTCATGTTTGTCACCCAATGCAGGGTTGCAAACAAAGACAAAATTGCCAAACACTTCTCTTAACGAACAGAATTGTTTCCAAACAAAAGCATTTGTGAATCCAAGTACTGCTGTGTTTTCATTATCTGTAGTGAATTGTTCAAAGGCCAAAATCTAGAGGCTAGTACAATATTCGCAGTTATATTAGAGTATTTTTATCACCCCTAATACAAATCCTAGGTCCATTAGCATTCACTCTCCTCAGTGCCTCCCAAATTCTAGTATCCCTAGGTAACCCCCAAAATTTGCCTGTTTTCAACATTTCATGTAAAGGGAATCATACGACACAGAGCCTTTTCTGACTTCTTTCACCTAACCTAATGTTTTCAGGGTCATCCATTTTGTAGCATTTATCAGTACAGTACTTTATAATGAACAGGAAAGGGGGATATTACTAGAACCTCTGCAGTAAATCCTAGTCTCCTGTGAGCCATGACAGCACAAGGCAAATTAATTAATATATAGATAGAAAAGATTGGAAAAATGAGGAGAAGCTGAGCTTTGGATCTGATCAGTGTTGCTCTGAGCAGCAAAGACAAAAGTCCCCGGGCTTGCCACACCTTTATTCAGTACCCCAGGAGAAACAAACATAACGGGTGACTCATGGAAGAGAGTTCAGTACTTTGGCAGAGTAACAAATGTAAGAGGTGACTCAGAAGGCGGCAGTAGCGAAAATCCTAGAACAATGAGGAACTATGCAGATGAAGATTTTGTTCCTCCCAGGATGTTTTCAGCTGGTGTCATCTTGTCCTAGAGCAGCATCACAGCATCAGGACCATTGAGGTCTTAGCTGTGACCAGGGGCCAAAATGGAGTTCTGTCTCTGCATGCCATTGCTGGCCTGTAGGTAGAAGAACTAGGCCTCTAATCATAATTTTCATTGTGAAATGATTTTTCCCCAAAATTATGTAGAATTGCTCCCAATAGTACTTCATTTCTTTTTGTTGACCAATATATGAATTGCTGCGTATTTATCTTTTCAACAGCTGAGGGACACTAATACAAATAAAACTGCAAAAACATGTATACAAATGTTTGCATAGCCAAATATTTTATTTCTTCTAGGCATATACCTAAGAGTAGATGCTTTTAGGATTCTATTCTCTTATTACATACAGGGCATAACATCAGAAGGATATCTTTAAATATTTTCTCCAGAGCAGGAATGATGTTTCAAGGTCACCAGTGCCATGGCTCAGGCCTGGTGGGTGCTGCATTTGGGGGTGCAGTTGAAATAGGCAGCCTCTGAGGCCCACCCCAGAGAAAGTCAGCAGCTCTTGCATCTGCCCTTGAATTGAAGGCTTTGCCCTTGGCCACTGTGAAGTTGCTCTTCCAGGCCCTGCAGATGTCTTACAGCCCAATCGCCTCCTGTGTGATCTATGTCTGCCTCCGCTGCTGGACAGGGCTTCCTCTCCCAGTGCTCTTCTCAGTCATGCTTTATTTCCATTTGTGCTCTAGCAGTGATTAAACCTACAAGATGATTTTTATCTTTGGTTTATCCTTTGTTTAACAAAATGGTGTGTGATGATTCATATTCATTGGTGGAGAAACTAATGAATTTGTGCAGCATACTTGGACTTTTATGGTGCTTTTATTCTCAAGATCTAGAAACTGTCCAGTATATCTGAGCTGTAGGAATTTGTTTACCAATCTGACAACACCTTGTATTTTTTACCATATTTCTTTATTAAAATTGAAGAATTTATTGGTCATAAAAGGAAAATTTTATAGAACTGTACTTCACAATTGAAAATGTATTTCATCTGTCTGTATAACAGTGGCATTGATTAAGTGACTTATTAAAAGGCAGTGTGATTTTAGGTCATATTCTCTTTAAGGTAAACAAAGCTAACTGTCATCTACCAGAAGATATTTTCAACATAGATGAGCTGTCTGACCTGTTGAATATTTCTATAGAAAAAGAAACACTGTTCTTTTGGTCTTTCAACCAGGTAACGTTCATACTTTACAGCACACTTATATAGCTGTGTACATATGCCTTTGATAAATTAACACTTGAAAAGTCCCTCATTACAATGCCTCACTAAAGTGAACTTGTTAAACCAAAGGATCACAAAAATTTTTAGAAATTTGCTTTTAGGTAATTTGGATTCTTAACAAGATTCCAAAAAGTATAGCAGGAAATAATTTAAAGTGATAGGTAAAGGAATTTTTTTTCTTCTAATTATTAAATAGTCTGTTTCTTCTTTAGGTATTTGATGAACACCCCAGTCTTGTTATTTTCAGTCATTTTCCATTTGTTTGTAATTTACAATGCAAAATTAAGTTGTTACAAGCTGATTCATCTATAAAAATGCAGGTATGTATGCTATATCCGTAGGTGTCACAAAATATGTGAGGCTGCATGCTATATGAACAAAAGAGATTTCTTTAGCTCACAGTTTTAGAAGTCAGATGTATAACCCAAGTGTCCTGGCCAGGTAGTCCCCATCTTGCTGCATTGAGCGTATGTTCACCAATTGTGTTGGAAAGCCTAACTTGTTTTGGGTACTGCATGTTTTGGTTTACTTTCTTTCTTTTGTTTTTTTGGTACCGAGGATCGAATTCAGGACCTTCCCCTTGGGAAGGTGCAGTGTAACTAAGCTAAACCCCCAGCCCTGTTTAAGTTTCATCTCCCCCCTTAAGTTTATTGGTACATTTAAAGCAAACAATACAGTTACATTTATCATTGGGATCTTGTGCCTTTTCATGATGTGTTGGTTCTTACTTTTCGCCATATCCCTGCCCTCCCTTCACCCCCTTCACCCTTTCCTATTTACAAAGACTTTGTTTCATTTTTTCCTTTTTTCACATTTTTTCTTTTCCCTTATTTCCTTCCCCTCCCCTTCCCACTTCCCCTTTAGCCATTTTCTTCCTATTTCACAGTCTCAATTTTACCATTTGAACCTTATTTACACTTTTAGTTTTTCCCACCAGAGAAACTGTTCATTCTTTACTCAAGTGTGTCCTATTTATTTCACTTAAGAGTATAGCTTCAGTGTTCATCCACTTAGCTATAAATGTCTCTAGTTTCTCATTCTTTGTGGCTAAGTATACTCTATTTTATAGAAAAACTGCATCTTCTTTATCCAGTCTCCAGTTGATGGGCATTCCAGTTGTTTCCAAGTAAGTTTCGTTTTTGAGACGAGTGAGACGAGGTCTACCTGACCTTGAACTCACTGTATAACCCTGGCTGGCCTCGAACTTGCAGTGATCCTCCTATCTCAACCTCCTAAGTGCTGGTATTTTAGGTGTGTGCCACCACACCTGATTAGAAAGCCTAACTTTTTAATAACCTACTCTCACAAGAAGTAATTGCTTCTGAAAGACCAGCACTAATCCCTGCTGAGGCCGGTCACCTTGACCTCATTGTCTCCCACCAGGCCCCACCTCTTAAGGGTTCCACCAGCTCTCAGCATCAGCACCCTGGTTCCACCGCATGAGCGTAGAGGACACCCTCAAACCATACCCAAGCCATAGCGGTGGTCTGTACTTTCTGTTGTATAAATCTTGAACATATCTAAAATAGAGATACTGCCCTGACCCCCTACACCAGTCACCCAATATATAACCAAGCCCCTTCCCGTTTCCTTTCTCTCTTTTCTCTTTCTCTCTCTCTCTCTCTCTCTCTCTCTCTCTTTCTCTTTCTCTCTGTCTCTCTTGTTCTGTTCCACTGAGTGGGCCACCGTGCTGCCTCAGCTCTTTAATAAAGATCTCTCATATGAAAAAAAAATAGAGATACTGGTATAAGTTCCATCACCAAGATTCAACACTTATCAGCATTTTGCCATGCTTTCTTCATCTATATTTTTGTATTTGTAGTTGTTACTGTTTTCTGCTGAAGTATTTTAAAGAAAATCCCAGGATGAAATCTGAAGTGATGTACATTTCACCTTCTCATACTTTAATACATTATTTCTAGTTGTCTTGCTCTTGTATCTGCTGATATTAGGTAGTGAGCTCAGGTAACTAATATGTGATTCTTCATTTTAATGTTTTTATCAGTCTTTTGAAATTTTATGCAGAGAAAATTACTTAATAATTCTATCCGTTCTTTAAGGTTTACAGTATACCAGTATTTATAATCTCATCATTTCTTCCAGAATGTTAACTGGAATTTTATAAAGAACCTTTCTTCAGAGGGCTATTTGGTACCCTAAAGTTGCTAAAAACCATTGAAAGAGGAGAGCACTGTTTAATCTTTTCTCTTTAGTTATTAAATGTTGACATATCCTATAGAGTTTGTACCAGTTTGTTTCTATTAGCAATGTATAGAATATATATTTCACATATTTACCAGTGCAGAGTATTACCAATCTTTGTCATTTTTTCAGTTTTATGACTTACTCATATTTCAGATGATTTTTAATTTGCATTTCTCATTGTTTGATATCTTAGTCCTCATTTTCTCTACAAAATTGTTTTCCTATATGAACAACACTGAAACTATTTAGTAGGTGTGCTTTTCCTATCTTTTCCCTCTTCTATGTAGTTTTAGTTACTACCTATGTTCTTAGTGTCAATATTTGGACTTTATGTCTTTTAGCTTTTTGGAGCTGAATTTGTAAGCTGCAACTTTTATTTTCTTTTATTCCGAGATAATACTGGTCAGTTGGTGACTTATATTCTTTCACTTACTTTCAAACTACAATGCTTCTCTTATATTATTTCCACGTGACATTTACATATTTTTGTTTATCACTGTGAGCCTTAGTTCTCAGTTGATATATTTGATACTCATTGCACAGATATTATGTTAAAAGATTTTCCAAAGATTTGGTTGATTATTGAGGCCTGTTTTCTGCATCACCCCTCAGGACAGGTTCACACCTGTTTATCTCAAGTGTTTCTCCTTTAAAGACTCATAAGAATCCGAAGTAGTAACAGTTAATGACTTCCATTAATAGTTCCAAGGATACTGCCATCTATCTGCACAAAACAAAGAAGTCTAGGACACGTCTACAGTAGGAGCCATTTCAAATCTAAAATGTTTCATTTCTACACTCCATTAGTAAAATACTAGCTTACATGACATTTTCCAATGAAATGTGGCCCTTAAGTCCATCAATGCTAGGTTTATGTACAGTAAGCAATTTAGATACAAGGTATATCCTTCTGTAGTCTTACTGCTCTGTAGATAAGAGCTGTCCCTCTAGTTACTGTTATTAGTGTAAGTTACTAATGTATTTATAAATAAGTTCACACAGATCACTTCTGTTTTTATTTTCCTAACATCCTTGGTAAAGGAAAACATAGATTATCTTTCCTTCTCAGACCTGGTTTTCTGATGTTTCCCTTAATGAGTCCTTCATTTGGAGTATACACTTCTTTATCAATGTCTAATCTGTCTAACCTGTTTGTAATTCAGTGGCAGTGGTCCCAGGCAGATTGCACAAAATGAAGGAGTAGCAGAGAAAACTCCTGGTTGTAGTTCTCACAGGCAGAGTTGGACTAGTAGACTTCATGGTCCCATTCTCCAAAGGAAACCTGATGTACGAGTCTTAAGCTGTAAGCTCCAAACTGGGTTACCATTTCAGATGTGGAGGTAGAGAAAGGGAAAGCAATACATAAAGAACAGGAGTGGAGAAGCTGGGAGGGAAGATAAGATGCAGGTTTCCAGTCCAGATCTGCATTAGGTGAGTGGAGATACAGACTCTTCTCCCTGCTGGAGTCAGCGGAGGATACTGCTGGCTAGGGCTGTCACAATCACTGGACATATTGCCCTAAGGTCAGTACGGCTAATGTATGCCAGTATTGTAGACTCTGGAACCAGGAGAAGACCAAAAATCACAAGAGAACCCAGAGATCAAACTTGTTCCATTTCCTAAGAAACCTGGAACTTTTTCAAAAACTGTCACCTCAAAGAAAACACAGAAAAAAAAGTACTGAAATCATGGATGTGTTTCTCAGTACAGTATATAGCAGTGGCACAGATCTAGGACAGATCAGAGCCCCATGTACCCTTGTTTGGGGAGCTTGGAGAGAATTAACATGAATAAACACACCTAGCGTAGAAGCCTGGAAAATTTCTTCTTCCTCTTCCTCTTCCTCCTCCTCTTCTTCTCCTTCTTTCTTCTTCCTTCTTTCTCCTCCTCCCCACTCCCTCTCCTCTTCCCCCCTCCTCCTGCTCTCCCCCCACTATGTTTTCTAAGCAGATGCTGCACTGCTTGAGCTACATTCCTGGCCCACTACCCACTGGTCTTGCTGTCACAATTGTAGGACAAACTCCAGGACAGCTACATTGGTTTATGAGTCCTAAATACTCCTTTATTGTTCTTGTGGTATACCAGAAGCCCTAGAGAAGTATCAGAGGTCAGAGTGAGGGTGGCAAGTCCATCTAAATTTCTAACCCAAAGGAGTTCAGCAGAAACAAAGCAGGGACTGAAGTGGTGAAGGAATGTTGGGTACCCAGAAAAGCTAAACAGCACTGATGAGAGTAATGCTAGATATAAAATGAGGCCATCTGTGGTATGTTTCTAGAGCGTTCCAGAGCAGATTTCAGCCTAGGTGAATGGATCATCATTAGGAGAAGAGTCGGTCTTCTTGAGTACATCTTTCCTCTTATCTTTGTCGAACAACTAACATTCATTATTCCTGAGCTCTGAAAGTGCCCTATATTCTTGAGGTTTACCATGCTAATACTGTTTGTTAAGACTGACAAGCATGTGTCAGCATGCTGAATACGAGGGTTGCCTTTTCAGGATACTGTACTACAGTATATGATCTCAGATGCTTTTACTAACTATATTTACCATTCATCTGTCATGACTGATTTCTTGTACGTGACTCTTGGATGCCATAATTTTTCTGATGCTACATTTGGTTTATCCACTGTCATGTAGACACATTGTCCTTTTTCTTAATGACAGTGGGGATATGTAAAGTAATGGCAGTCGTGATGAAGTGAGTCCTTTGCAAAATATGTTTTATGAAAAACTTTAAAGAATCTCAAGGATTATTAACAGTCAAAAAGAGAATCCAACCAAAATATTTTCTTTTCTAGAGGTCAGCAGCAAAGGTAAAGATCCATATGATGGTGGAAGAAAAAGTTGAATCACCTATATTAGTGCTGAGAATAAGGCGAAATCACATAGTAGAAGATGCCCTACATCAGTTAAGCCAAGTTGAAGACACCGACCTTTGGAAGGCATTAGTGGTACAGTAAAAAAAAATCTCATTGAATATTTTTACTGGTGCATGAAGGTTGATGTATGCTAGGCCTGGCCAGGGCAGTTTGGCTTTGCTCTGCATATTTTTCAGCCTTCTTCTGGGACTAGCAAGCATATTCTTCTCACTCATTGCAAGAGATGCAGGATAGAAGTGACTGAACAGTTAGTTCTTTAGTCAGAGAAGTCTCATGGATGAACCCAAGTCAAGGGCTAGGAAAATGCGCTCAAAAACTTCAAGAGGAGAAACTACAAAAATGGCATGCAAAAGCATAGATCAAAGAGTGGTCAAAAAATTGGACTATTCATGTAGTTAACAAGAGCAAGTGGAACAGGCAGTGGTTCTACATTTTGGTTCTAGTTTGAGTTTAAGATCTATATGTGTTTGAATTCTAGCCATCCTTCATTTAATCCTTTATGGGTGACTGTAGGGTGTTTATTATGTGGTATCTCAGAAGATTTGCCCTATTGTGGTTATAGTATAATGGCTAACACTGTGGGTGAGGTTTGGAATCTGACAGAAGGAAGTGGATTTTCCTCATATCAGCCATGAGGGTTAGTGTTAACCTCTAAGGAACCTGGAAGGTGAGGCTCAGATAGAAGGACAGTTCTCAACATGGGATTCCAGTGGAAAACAAAAAGTATTTTATAAGCCAGACTTTCTAGTTGTGTGACTCCCTTTGTACTTACTTTTTCTTATAGCTTAACTGTGAGAAAATCAGTAGAAGAATATTCCCCCAACAGGAATTGACCAAAAGATAAGAAAGTGTATATAACTATATATACATATATATTTTGGGGTAGGGTACCAGGAATCAAATTTGGGACCTTGCATTTGTGAGGCATTTGGCAGAACCACTGAGCTAAAACCCTGGCTCAAGAAAGTATATTTCAAAGCAAGTCAAATCAATAAAGATTCTGAATATGGCAAGATTGTCATGGCCCATTCTGAGTGAGCCCTATAACGTAGACAGACTTGCTAAGACATGAGCACAAAAAATTAAATCAGAAGGAAGCTTACTTTTTTGTTGGGCTATCCAAGTGAGTAGGTGAGGCATTTCTTGAACATGATGGTTCTGGCCAAGGTTCTGTTGAAAGATCTAACAGATAGCATCTTCCAGGCAAAGAGAGTAGAAAGAAAAATCCAAAACAGTGAAGCTCATGGATGCTTACAGTAAAAACAATATAAGCTAGAGGTGTAGCTAAGTGGTAGAGCACTTGCCAAGTATATGCATGATGCCCTGAGTTTGATCCACAACACCAAAAAGAAAAAAGAAAAGAAAAGAAGAAATAATCCAAAGAGATAAAGGATATTAGTCAGAAAAAGGAGTAGCTACAGAGACACATTGAAATGAAGTTAGTACAAAGCCACAAAGTCTGAAGGTAAAGAAAGTTTTGAAAAAGAGGGGCTAGTTGATGATTTCTTACATGAGGGGTAAGGTAATCACAAACCATAGTTTCTGCAAGGTCTAATGCCCAGGCTGGCCAGAAGGGTGGTTTAGTGAAAGCCCTATTGAGGACACAGGCAGGAGAAACCAGGTAACTGTTAACTGTGGTTAAGGATGTAAAGCCTGAACAGCAAGATGAAGATACCCTACAAAGTAGAATAGCTGGGGAACCAAGCAGCCCAGGAATTTGAAGACATCAACATTTGGTTCAAGATTCTGGTCAACATAAATGGTAGCTGCTAGATTCTCCCTTCCCTTGGTACATGTGGCAGTCTAAGGTGTCTGTATGGTTACTGTACAACAACCTGAGAAGAGTAGGTTGATTGTCTCTACTGTTCAGTAGGAAATTGAGGCTGTATAGACTGGATGGAGGTAAGGGCTGAGTGATTCTGGTAATTGTAGTGACTGCAAGAATGATCATTAGATATTGAACACTTTTCCATAAAGGCTGAAGCATTGAGCATAAATCAGATGTGGGGGATGTATTTTCTTCCGTAGGTTGAATTTATCAAAGAAATTCGTCCTGAGTGTGGAGGAGTCACTTCCGAGTTCTTCCATTGTGTGTTTGAAGAGATGACCCAGCCAAAATATGGAATGTTCATGTATCCTGAAGAGGGTTCCTACATGTGGTTCCCTGTCAATGTAAGCCTTTTATTACTTTCTCATAGTTTTTCCAGAACAGAAAATATACTCCATATACTACAATAGGAAAGCCATAGAGAGTAATGCAAGCTAACTTTATAGAGAGCCTTGGGACTCATATTTTGGGTAACACTTAGGTGATCCATAATTTTGCTGGGATCCTTCCATGTTGTAACGTGCATCCACAGTTCACTCTTTATTATTATAAAAAAAATTTGATTGTATGGATACTCTTCAACTTCCTTTTCCTGATGTCTGACACATAAATACTTGGGGCATGTCCTAAATTTTGAAACCTTGTAATTGGGAGTGTTTTCAATTAGGAGACTAATAATTGATAAAACGTCTTCACAAATATAAATGAAAAGGTGAGTGATTTGTGTAATGATATTTTTTAAAAGATGCTTGGAGTGTAAGCATTTTCTTTGTAAAATTATTTTTAAAATCTTAATTTCCTGTTAATAACACAGACAAAATAGTTCTGAAAGAAATACGTTGAGCTTCTAGTTTACTAGTTGCCTTTTTCAAATTGTTCTTCAAATGATGATTAGATAATATTGCACCTACCTTTTTGAGAATGAATGAACCTCTTAAAGATATATGGCTGAAGTGTGCCAGTGGTAGTTTTTTTTTTAATCATTTGATAGGCGGCATTTATTTATTCAGTGTTTCTTGAGTTCCCACATTGTGTTAAATATCATAGAAGATACAAATTATTACAGGATCCCTTTTCTCCTGAAACATTTTATATACGTAGACAGAGTGACAAGACTAACGTTAGATTGCCAACTTGATGTGTAACAGTTACTGAGGACAGCATGGTGGGACAGGAATCACTGCTGGGGAAGTAGAATCCAGAGTTCTGTAAGTGATAGTGGTCATACCATGTTGAATTTTCAGTTTCTTTCCTCTAAAGTGATTATAATTTCTGCTCTGACTACTTTACAAGGGTGTTGCAAGGATAAAACAAAGTAAGGTAATGTGACAGTCTGAAAAACACCAAAATTTAAGGTAGTCTTTGTTAGGACAGAAGAATGTCGAGGAAGAATGGAAGTCGCTAGAGAAGGTGACATGGAGAAGTGGAGACCTGAGGGTGATCATTAAGGACAGGGACAGAATAGACTAAAGAGGTACAAGTGAGGGATGAAGTGGAGAAAAATAAATTATATCAACCCTGGGAGGGTAGGTGGTTTATATTCATCTTAAAGGTGAAAAAAGTGAAGCTGAGAGAGAAAAAATAATTACTGAAGGCCATGGCACCTAGCAAGTGACCAGGCTAAAACATAAATTCAGGGTTGGCTGACCTCACAGCCTTTATTCTTAAGCAATATTTTATCCTGCTGGATAGAAAATTTTAAAAAACAAAAAAAATTTTAATTTGTGTATGGCTCCGTTAAATGACAAAATAATGTGGAACCAGGGGACACATTATAAAATTTGGTGTCACAGTGTGCAGCGATGGATGAGCAGAGGATGAAGATTACTCAGAAACAAGATTTAGTTCAATCACCAAGAACTCAGAGGGGCTGTTTCTTTGGCATAAGAGAGGTTCAGGGAAACAACAGTGAGCTGAGACCTCTGCAGTTATTTATTTCTGACTTAAGAACATGAGAATAAAGATGTAGAAGAAAAGCACTTTCAACATAGTATATCGAAGATTTGGTCAGAGGACAGGGTCTGAATGGGATAGTTTATTACGTGACATATGTCAACCTGGTTTAAGTAAACTTATCAAGTCAGAGGAGACATAGTGGCCAAAACAAACATCTCTGAGAACAAACTGCTTTTAATTCGGCTGATTGCCGTCCTGCAGATTCTGCTCTAAACTCTGACCATGCATTCCAGGAGCATGGGAACTGTTGTTCCAAGGACCCTTCCCTGTCACACTCAAACTGGAGTCACTCCTTTGGCCAGCATTTCCCCACAGTTTGGAAAAGAAAGTGGATTAGGAGCATCCACCTTTGGAGATTACATATATTGTACCTTTAACTCACTTCCAAAATTCAAATACATTTTTATCATCTGTCCTCATCTTTATTCAAGAAGGCATCAGGGCAAGTAGATTGAGTTGATTGAACACTTGGTGAGTGGCCCAAGCTCCACACCTGATAACAGCAAGGCTGGCAATGGGATAGAAATCTTACCCTTTTCAGGTGAATGGCCTTTCCTCTGTTTGGCTACAGTTATGCCCACGATAGACCCTGGGTTTTCTCTTCTCCAGGACTACAAGGTCTGAAGCACAGCCAACTGTATTAGTCTGATTTTGTTATTATTATTGTTGTTGATTTTGTTACCATATTGAAACATCCAGCGCTGGGTGCTTTACAAGAAAAAGAGATTCATTACACTCTCACTTCTAGAATGCTCAGACACCTAGTAATATCATCTCCCCTCAGGTGAGGATCTGATGGCAGTCTCCTGTGCACGGAGAAGGTTATATTGGGAGACAGGAAGCCAGCATGAGAATTGGCCATGGGAACTACGTTATTGCTTTCTAAGGGTACACTCCCAAAGACTTCACAACCTCCCCCTAAGCCCCATCTCTTAAAAGATCCCATGTCATGCATGACAAATCTTTTTAAAGAATCATTACAATGGGCATATAATGCCCATGTTTATTTCTTAGGAGTATTTCTGCTGATGAATTATTTAATTTTATGGGTTTTATTTTATTATACAGTGTGTACTTAACAGAAAAATAAAATAGTAAAATATAAAAATTTTAATGAGTGTTTAGAATAAACACTTTCAACATCAACTCTTCACTTGCTTACAAAATTTAAAAAATAATAAAAATATGTTCCTTTGTGAACTACAATGAAAATACAAATAAAATTTTACCACAGAAATAATCTTTACTTGAATTATCACACCTAAAGCAGTCTTCACACATGAAAACAGCATATTCCATGCACACACTAACAGCACATATGTTTGACTTTCTTATCTTTTTCCTATCATACTTGTGCCCTCTTGTCTTCCTGTTTTGTCAGGAGGTTCACAGTGTGCACTTAGCAGGAAAGTGAAATATCAATAAAATATATCAAATATGTACTGAGTGTTTAGAATAAATAACATTTTCTACCTCAAATATGCATTTGCTTAGTAAACCTAAAAGCAGTAGACACACCTATGTGAACTACAAAGAAAATACAAATAAAACATTACCATAAAAATAGTCTCTACAGCTATCACAGGTAAGGCAGTCTTCACACATGAAAACAGCATGTTCCATACACCAGTGTCTCTTACACTGATAGCATGTGTTTTATTTTCCTGTCTTTCTCAGTAGAAACACTTCACATCTTGCTGGTCTTTCTGTTTTCTCAGGAGGTTCTTATGCTGTTTCACCTGTCTCTTCATCAGTCTGTTGCAGAATTCTTCTGTGGAGTCCTTTGTACACATTGTTCTTCCTCTGCTGTAGTTGATCATTTATCAGTTCCAGTCCCAATCCTATAAGGAAATCTCTCCTTGATATTTTGCGCTTGTTATTTTTGTGTGTGAGAACTATGGAACTGTTTATGCCAGACATGTTTAGGATTCAGTAAAATACAACCGTTGGCCAATGCTTTGTTCGAATGACATCGTAGTTGCAGCATAACTTGACAACAACATCTACCCTGCCTTTCATTTTGTCGTAAAATGTGACCACTTTTGGCTTCATTTTTGTCAAGGATTTATTCTGTCATTTGTTTTGTTTTTTGAGACAGGGTACTGCTCTGTAATCCAGGCCAGCCTTGAATGCACTATGTAGCACAGGCTGACCTTGAACTCATGGGATCCTCCTGCCTCAGCCTCCAGAGTGCTAGGATTATGGGTGTGCACCACAGTGCCCTGCTTCATTATCAATCTTATCATCATGGTATGATGTTGACAGTGTCACGATTACTTTGCTTTTCTTTGCTATATAGGAAGCCAATGTTATATGTTTCTGAAGTCCAAAGATTGTACTATATGTTTCTCTGTTGTGAACTTGGAACATTTTTGAGGGAAATCTCCACTCTGTTCTTGCAAATACTTCCTGTGCTGGCCAACTAGTGTACTTTTAATGAATATTTGTACCATCATTGGGTAACTAGTGAAACAATTGTCAAATGTGACATTTGGGTTACTTTTTGAAATAGGTGTAACAAATCTGTTGACAACATCATGTGGTGTATTACTGCATGGTTTATTTATTTATTTTTTTGTTTGGTGACAGGGTCTCATTATGTAGTTGAGACTGACCTGGAACTCAGTGTGTAGCCCAGGCTGGTCTCGAACTCACAGTGATCCTCCTGCCTCAGCCTCCCGAGTGCTGGGATTACAGGTGTGTGCCACCATGCCCAGATTGCATGGTTTATTACCTGGTTCCTGAGTTCCAGGATAAATTTCTAAATTCAAGGTGTAAAATACCTTCACATTTACCAGGGCATATGTTTTTATTCCATATTTGGAAGTTTTTTTGGGCATATGTTGCCGAAAGCTTGAACGGCCATAAAATGATGCAAAGTTGTTCCTGAAATGTCATGTATTCAGACAGTGTATAAACTGCTTTGACAGTTTGAAACAGAGCTTTCAAAAAATGAGGGAAGAGGGCCAGGGATTTAGCACAGTAAGCACAAGGACCTGAGTTTGGTACCAAAAAAAAAAAATGAGGGAAGACCAGCCAAGTTGTTGGATTGGTTTTTTTCTTCTCATGGTGGGTCTTTTTGTTGTCAAAACATAGGCAATTTTGAAGGAAACCATATTTCTTGAGTGTCGTTACCATTTCAAAAATCTCAACTCCACATCTGTCACTTCTTCATGAATCCTTTAGAATCTGACAATTAAAGTCCTGCTACGAAGGCTTTTACTTCATATAGTGAGGTGTTAATGATAAATATATTTTTGAGTATTATTGTTGATACACGTAGAATGCTTTACTTGTATTTCATTATTAGTAAATTTCGAAACACCTTGTAGCATATCATCCATTACAGTTTCTAATGTTGAATCACAGTATTGGCATTCCATCCAGTAGGTTTCACCCCTGGCAAAAACCTAATAACATTTTCTTACCTGTTCTAATTTTGGGTCATTCAGGTATACAGGACTACTTTGTAGCATTTTGACTAGTCAAATATTTATTTACATCACTGTTTTCTTCCTCATCTGAATCAAGGTCTTCTTTCTGTCAGTCATATCTTGCCTTGTCTCGCTGTCACATCTTTGGCTTGCGCTATCTAATTCAACATCTGTATCTGAATCACCTGATGACACTTTGAACCTCCTCCCAGAGCTGTAAAAGCAGATTTTCATTGCAACATTGTACTGAATTGGCCTCATTCTGTAAGGAAACTCAAAAGACGACATTTAATAAAACAAATTATAAATACACAAAAATGTAACAGCACATAACATGGTTAAAAGTTACCTGTTGATACTTCAACGTGGGTGCGTACACTTTGCCATTTGTCTGCCAAGTGAGTGAGCAAAGATTGCTTTCTGTATAACCCCATTGCAGCTACTGAAATGCACAGCTGGCTACTATCATGCTAAAGTAAATATTTTCATTAGAAAAATAATGTATGGGTGTCTTCTACCCTGAGTGAGGAGCCTGTTAATATTGCCACACTAATCCAGGCTTCCTAAATAGACACTTGGGGGAGACACTCAGACCATGTAGCACCAACTTAACCGGAACACTCTTCTGGCTTCTAAATTTGCCTTCATTTGCCTGTAGCATCAGTCACCTTTGCTTTCACATGAGCTTGCTGTGTTGATGCACCGAGGGAACACCATTCATGAGACCAGCCTACCTCATACCTGAAGCTGACTTGAAGTGTGAAGTTACATCCTTCCTTTCTGAGTGGATTAGAAGACAATGATTGTCAAGTTCAACCATGAAACCTTAGTTTGTAACTCTTACCTGAGTGTATGTTTCTATAGTACGGACTGCCTTTAGTAGTAAATATAAATTAATTTAATGTTCATATTGCTACTTTGTATTAAAAATTAGGGAAAAAAATTAAATGGTTTTGTAACCCATGAAGAGCCTCAACTTTTTATTTTCCTGAAGATTTATTTCTTCCTAACTTGTGATTTTGGAAAAGGGAACTGTATTTTTTCTTTACTAATTTAAATATTCCCCTTTGGCAGGCTAAATTAAAGAATAGATATTTCCTCTTTGGGATGCTCTGTGGACTCTCCCTATTCAATTCCAAGGTTGCCAATATTCCTTTCCCACTGGCTTTGTATAAGAAACTTCTGGATCAGAAGCCAACTTTGGAAGATTTAAAAGAACTCAGTCCTGTTTTGGGGAAGTAAGTAAATATATTTGCTTTTTTAAAAAGACTATATATAGTTTCAATTATTTAGCCATAAATCATGGTACATAAAGATACATAGTCATGATCTTCAATTTCAATATTATGTGCCTTATACTAGAATTTGAATTTTAGCATAATTTATAATTGTATAAATCTTCAAAATTTTTCCTCTATTACCTAGTATCATAAACATCTGTGGCCTGGTCTCTTGATTTTTCCAGTTGGATATAGTTACTTTGGAGAGTATATATTATATATATGGGTTTTCACACATGTACTATAGTACACATGGCTTATATAAGTACATATGTATGTCTAATTAAAAAAATAATATTCTTGACTATTAATTGAGTGAGTTAAATGTCATTTTTCTACTTAATAGATTGACAGACTTCTTAAGGGTGTTGGGAAGAAGTTGGGGAAAAGGATTCTTTTCTCATGTACCATGTAGGACAGTAAGTTGGCTACATGGACACTAGAGCAAGGTTTCTCTGCCTTGGCAAAACTGACATTTTGGGGCTTACACATGCACGTGTGCGTATGTGTGTTTGGTACTGGGGACCAAACTCGTGTCCTTGCGAGGCAGGTGCTGGAACCATGTTTTGTTAGGAACCACCCTGAACCTCATTAAGCAAGTGCTCTGCCACTGAGTGAGGCCCCTTTAGCTCTGTTGTGGGAGGCTGTCCTGGGCCTTGTGCAATTTTTAGTAGCATTTGGAGGCTGTTCGCTAGATGCCAGGAGCAACCTTCCCATTGTTTTGACAACCAAAGATGTGTCCAGATTTTGCCAAATGTTCTCTGGAAGATACAGTCATCCCTGGTTGAGAATCTCTGCTCTGGAGATGGGCTCCTTTGTGTCATTTTTACAATACACAGCAGTGTCTGTGGGGTAACTGGTTCTAACAAATTAAACCATGAATAGAGGCTGTTTTAGGATGAACAGTGGGACATGAAAGAGCAGAAATTTACATTGCACTGGATGCATTTCTGTAATGTGAATTTTTTTCCACTTAATATTTATTGTTTTTGAACTTCGATACAATCAATAAATATAATTTTAATCCAAAATTTTTACTAGGAGTTTGCAAGAAATTCTAAATGATGAAGATGATGACCTTGAAGAACTTGACATGTATTTCTCTGTGAGTATTTAGGAAAACCTGATTATAGCTTACTTTAATCTTCATGGCTGGAGATCAAACACCAAAACTTGCAGATGCTTTGCAGCATTACACCACCCCCAGGCCACGTGTGCTTTTGTCATTTTTATTATAGTATCTTAAATATGGAATTTAATTTTTCAAAGATAGCTCACTTCTGTATCATAAACTTTGTCTTTATTTCATTCTTTATTTGATAATTCATGCATATTTTTGAAAGTTATAATTATTCAATTAATGTAACAGCTACACAGAATAACTTTATGTTTGAAATCTGTGTATGACACATTAGGGTATGTTTCATATTTTTACATGCATTTAAAAGGTGAACTACATAAATAATTAACCCTAGTTATTTTCAGTTTCATAGGAAAAAATATACTGGCAACAGTGGTATTGTGGGTGGTTGATTACCTTATTACATTTTGGTTACAGATACCTTGGGATCAAAATGATGTTGATTTAATTCCAGATGGGATCTCTGTACCTGTGGACCAAACCAACAAGTAAGTTTTGGGAAAGTAGAATGTTTGCTTTGAATATACTTAAAATATTGTTAGAACTATATATTAAAATATATATTTCAACTTTTAAGATAATGACTTTAGATCATCTTTTACAAAGATGATAAGGGAAGAAAGGATTCAGAGTTAAATATTTTCACCATTTAACAAATACTTGGGAGGCCCTATTCTGTATGAGTCTCTATCCCAGGGTCCTGGAGATAGAAGAGTAAAAAAGACTAAATCAGAAAATTAATTTCTGGGAATTAATATAAATATAATTGGAGCAAAAGGACAATACACAAAGTTGTTGTGTAATATAATGGCACATAAGTATGTACTATACTTTAAAAAAAGTTCACCAAATAAGGGACTAAGAGCTACAGGTATGTAGAAGCCAGCCAGTATTAGTTTGGAGAGATCACTGCTGAATTTTCAAACTGTTGACTTTTTAAAAACTTATCAGCTTGAATCAGCTATTGTGGAAATATTTATACCACAGCAGTCAACAAATACTACAGAGTTTCTTTCTCCCCCAACTCTAGAGTAAATTTAATTAGGCTGGTTCTCAAAGGCTACATACAGTATGGGAGACTCTTGCTCCTCTAGTGAGAGTGCCTCCACTACACTGCCTGCTCTGTTAGTCCATTTTTCATTATTATCATGAAATACCTAGCCCCAGGAAACTTTATTGAATAAACAGATTTCTCCAGTTCACAGTTGTGGATGTGCAGTGACCTGAATTTGATGATGGCTTTCTTGCTGACAGAGACCCAGTGTTGTACAAGGAATCACACAAGAAGAAACAAAGAGCACACACATGTATTTCTTATGGTCTTTTCTCCCTCGTCTTACAAGGCCACCAGCATTGTACCACAGGGGCTGCACTGTGATACCTTAACGTAATCTTAATTGCTTCCCAGAGGCCTCACCTGTTGCTATGGATTTGGTCTAGTTGTTTCCCCAAAGCCTCATGCAGTCATGGGGGGCTTTTCAGAGGTGACTGGATCTAGAGTGTGTGTTGCTGGGATCAAGGGTGTGTGATTACTAAATCAGTCCACTGATTGGTTTGGCACAGTTCTGGCTAGGATTACCGATATGAGTGCTAATGTCTACCCTAGGGTGGGTAACCTGCATAAAATATAAGGGACAGAAAGAGAGCTAATGCACTTTCACCTGCCTGCTTACGGTGAACGGTTTCTCCTCTGTGATGCCCCTCTGCCATGCCACCCTGGCTTGGAGCCAGTCAACTATGGGCTGAAACCTCTACAAACTGAACCAAATTAACTTTTCCTCCTTTAACTTTCTATGTCAAGTATTGTGTCACAGCAACAAGAAAATACACCTAATTCAACCATCATCACTGTAATCACGTCAAATTTCAGTCCTTTTAGTACCTTGCACTGGAGAATAAATTCCCACTAACGAAGCCTTAGGGGACACACAAAACCATATCCAAACCATACCACTTGCCATCAGAAAACGCATCCTATAGGAGGGTGCATCCAGTAGTACAAGTTAGGCCTTGCAGAAGTAATTTCTTTAGAATAGTATGTGTGGGGAGAAGCCAGAGGAACAGAATTATCAACCCTTAGAGTATCATGTTCATAGTGAAATCTGATGGCTGACAGGGGTGCCAAGTAAAGAGGAAACATGACCTGCTGGAGAAGAAATTTACATTGTAGGGCTATCTACAAATAAGAAAGAAAGAGCGAGGCCAGAGGAAAATGGAAGGCAAAAGAGTTGAGACTGGCGAGGGTCAAGTCATAGAGGGTTTGATTCTTGCCAGGCAGGTAAGAGATTTGCTGTAAGAGCAGTGTGAAGCCTTTGAAAGATTTTAAGCAGAAAAGTGACTAAAAATGGTGTGAAATCCATATACATTCCATGGAAACTATACTCCATATTTTGAATGTTGATCGTCCCCTGGGCTAGGGACACAGGTACAATACTGTCTTGTGATACAGGGAGCAATACCAAAGCACAGCTGCCTGAGAACCACACAGTCAAGAAGGGAAATAACCAATGCTCTACAGTATGATGTGCAACACTTTAGAAGCACTGAGCAAACATTTGCTCCATGATAGTTTCAGCTTATGAAGGGGTCCCTGGGATACATCCCAAATGTAAGTTGAGGAGCGTGTGTGTTCAGATTAGTGTTTATCAGATCTCCTGGTTCCAGTGAGGAAAATGAGAAATAAAGGATTGATCTTTCTGCTTAGGTTCACTAAGCATCCTTCTAGCCGAGCAGGTTTTAATCCCTGTACCAGCTTATTGGCCAGGAAGAAATTGACTTTTCTTTCTCAACAGAAGTAATAAAACCAGCAAAGTAGAGATTGTTTCATCATTGGTAAAGAATATCACTGGCTATTTTTTCCTTCCCTCAAGGAGAGATTATGTTTCTAAGTGTGTTGACTACATTTTCAACATCTCCATAAAGGCAGTTTATGAGGAATTTCATAAAGGATTTTATAGAGTCTTTGACCAAGAGATGATTAAATGTTTCCAGCCTAAAGAACTTATGGCAGCAGTAATTGGGAGTACTGATTATGACTGGGAAGACTTCGAAAAGGTAGGTGGTTCCTAAATTGCTTCCATTTCTTTCCAAAGGTTTCCATATATTCCCTCCACCAAAAAAATCATTTTTCTCCCTCTTTCTCAAGAATTCAAAGTATGAAGAAGGATACTACATATCACATCCTACTATACTGATGTTCTGGAAGGCTTTCCACAAGTTAACTTTGGATGAAAAGAAAAAATTCCTCCGTAAGTATGGCAGTAATACATGGGTCTGCAATCGTTAGTCTTTTACAAAGGTAAATAGCTGTGATAGACATTCTTAAGAATAGGTCATGCATGTTAATGGCAGAGCAAAGAATAGAAACCAGGTTCCTTGCCATCTAGGCCACCGTACTTTCTCTTATGCAAGCCCATTTCCCATTTACATAAAGTAATAATAGACTTAATACAGTTTCAGTACCTTGTCTACACTAACCTAATCCCCAGTCCAATTTTTAGATTGTTTTCTTTTTATATTTGACTTGGTTCTAAATTATACTTCTTATGTTATGCTCTTATTTTCATTTAATGGAGTCCTCTGAGTCTTTGTTATAGTGCACTCTCTTATATAAAATAACACCAATGACAAATAATGATGAGGATAACAGCATCATTGGCAGTGTACCCTCACTGTGTGGCAGGCACTCTACCAACCATTTTTTGTCTATCGCCTCTCTTTAACCTGAGTAGCAATCCTGTGAGGGTTGATTTCTTTTTCTGTTTCAAGTATAAGGAAACACAGGGTTGAAGCATTTAGTACCTTGCCCATATTCAGACACCTGGTAAGTGTGAGATCTAGATTTTGAACCCAACAGGCTAAGTGCAAGCCTAGCTCTTGGGTTTTCTTGGTGGGAACACAGCAACTACTCTGAGACAGAATTAACTACCTCATTCCCTCATCTTCTTATTCCATTTTCAGCATTTTTTCTCAGTATTGGAGATTGAATGAAGTATGACTCTACCACTGACCCCAACTACCCACATTCATTCTTTATTGAGATCTGGTTTTGTTAAAGTGGCCAGGTTGGCCTTGAAATTGTGAATGTTCTGCCTCAGGCTCCCGAGTCTTTCAGCTCTTTGCTTTAATGGTTGGTCTTTCTATTTAGTGCAAGTTTGCCTTGAGCTTGAGATCTTCCTGCCTTAGCCTCCCTAGTGCTGAGATAAAAGGCTTGTACCACCATGCCTGTCTCAGCTTTTCTTCATATAGATACCTTTCTGGTTTTGTTGTTACTGAGTATGCTGGAGAACAATTTAAATTTCTTTACAAACACAGTTTTTCAGTGAGAAACTGCTTCTCTAATCTTTCCTAAAAAGAGAAACTTAATGTCCATTGTTTTAACTCTGTACCTTCAAAGAGTTCACTTAACATCTTTCCACCTCTGGTTTCTCCCCTTGCCTTGTGCCAACCTAGAAAACCAGCCTAGGCAAACACAATTAAGTGTATTAATTAGATGACAGTCTTGGAAAACAAAGATTTAAGCAATCTTGAAAATGTGCCCTAAGGTTTTACAAAATGGTGGCTGTCTTTATAGCCTTAAAGTGGGAACTTTAAAGTGGGTTAGAGATTCTATCACTTGTTAGGAGTTAAGGTTGGTGCTGGAAAAAGTAAAGCAGTTTTGTAGGAAAGGGAATGAGCCCAGTCCTGGCCTCTGGGCAGTGGGAGGTCAGCAGAGCTCAGCAGCTCCAGGGACGCACATGTCTACAGCCCAGTTCAAAGGTCTGCTGTGGATGGACGGTCATGGACCTGATTAACAGTGGCCTCTGGACTCCAGGATGAGTTGCCTGAACCACTGCTGCTCCATGTTTTTTTTTTTTCCTTCTCCTTGGAAAGCTATTCCAACTCCTTTTTAGAGAACAAACCAGTGGGGCCTCTGAGCCTCCCTGACCACCCCAACCTGCTCTCTTACTCTGGGCCCTGAGTCTCAGTCTGCCAGGAAGCTCTCAATGCCCTATTTCCTAGTGGAGCTAATTTGAATTTATCTTGTCATGGATGTGATCTCCCACAAATGGACCACAAATTCATGGAGGACAAAAACCACATGTTGTGATTTTTGTGGTTCCACCTGGCCCTGCATAGTTCACTTTGCACAGAGGTGCTCACCAATCATTTATTTAGTGAGTGCTATCGTAATTTAAGCCTTTCTCTTTCTGTGATACATGTTAACTACGTTTTATTCTTGTCCAGTATTTCTTACAGGGTGTGATAGTCTCCATATAAGGGGCATCCAGAGGAGAGGAATAGTATTCTGCTGTCCCAAAACTTCCAGTGAAAAAGATCACCCAAGGTCATTGACGTGTCACAGTATTCTGTATCTGCCTAAATATTCCACAATGGAAAGAATGGAGGAAGCCCTTTGCACGGCCATCCACAACCACAGAGGCTTTGCGTCAGCTGAGGTCCTACTGCCATGACCACTTCCCAGGGACTCAGGAAGGCCTCAGTGCTCAGTCTCTTGGCCCTGGGTTCTTCTGTTTCTGTTCACAGCTAATCCATGTAAGAAGTTGACACTTTTTAGTTATCGTTATTTGGACTTGCTGATAATAAAGTTGAGGCACAAATAATATTTATAGTGGCATGAATTATTTATAACATTTTTTATATCCCTAACCACATTATTAGAATGTTTGCTTTTACTGAATTATTTCCTGAACAATCATTTGCATTTAAAAATAGGTCAAATATTTAAAATATCCATACCTCTAATAAATTCTGCATACCTGAAAGACATGCATTTGAAAAAAAATATGCTAATTTCAATGTTTTTCATCAGTGTCGATGTATATTTTTTTATTAAGGCATGTCTTTATTTTTGATTTAGCAAACTGAAAAATCTAAATGTTAAAGGATTTATTGGTTTATTGTAGAACTAGGTATAATCAATATTTTGATGGCAGGAACTATTCTAAATGCAAGAGCCTTTATTTTGGTTAAACACTGAATCCAAACTTATAGTTGGAAAAATATACTGAAATATGTCTTATTATTATGGTAATAGAGAAGATTAATAGAGAGATGTAATTATCCTGGGAAATAGCCAGTGAACTTTGTGGTCCAGATCTACCTGATGTTTTTGCTTGTTTGTGTGATAAGATCTCACCATATTGTACAGATTTGTGTAGAATTTGCTGGGTAGCACAAGCTGCCTCAAATTTGTGATCCTCTTCTGTCACCCTCCTGAGTTCTGGGATTACAGGCATGTTCCACCACACCTGGCTGTTTTGTTAAATTTTGAAGTTTGTTATAGAGCTGTGAAAGGATTCCAAACACATAATTTTCTAAATGAGTGACATCTGTTATGTTATGAGTAGAACCTGGAGTAAGACCAATGTTCCTTTATACCTTAGCAGGTGCTGTATTTGAATTATTGACCGCAGGTGCTGGACTCCAAAGTATATACTAAACCCAAGAGTTTGACAGGCACTTTGACAGCTGAAGCACTGGCAGGCTATACTGTGTTGGTATTTTCTCCAAAGACCAAGAACACTGTTGGGGAATGGCCACCAGGTTAGCCCTAAGTGAAGCTCTAAGTTCTTACTGGCAATATCAGCCCGGACCTTCTGTCTTCATCCATCTCCACTAAGCCAGTCAAGCTGATCTCTGCTGAAAAACCCCTCTTAGAAAGGGACACTTGAAACTTTCATTAGACTTCCCACAGAGGCTGCTTTCTTTTATTGAAGCACTATAATCACTGGACTCTCACAAAATTGGAACCCAGTCACCATGTGATTAATGTGCCTCTATCAAGTGTGTACCCTGTGAGATCTGTTGTTATTTTTCCCCCTAAAAGAAAACTTTTATGTAGCAATGAACCATGAGATTTGTGAAACCATACTTTGGTTTATCTCTTTGTTATAACCATATGCAACAAGCATAAGCTATTCCACAGGTGCCTGCTGCTTATTCCCAGAAGCTTATGTTAGTGGTACAATAATACCTTGTTTCACAAACACTTCTGTTTGTAAACAGTTCAGCTCCCAAATGAAAGTGTTCAACTCTACATCAGGTGACAAATCTGACCAAAACTGTAAAACAAATGAAGTTTGTAAACGAGTATACCACTGTACTTTGGGAAACGAAAGGCCATGGGGGCCAAGTCCATGTTGTGGTGCCTATATGAAAAGAATGAAATCACCTGAGGACAGACATAGAGAACTCACTGAGTCCAGTAGAACTCTAAGCCCCCAGGGAGTCCTTGGAGTCACTTGGACCTATCTGGTTTTCACTTTAAGTGGAAAGAAAGTGCAGGTTTATTATACTTGAGTTTTATTTTATATTTTTTTATAGTGCTGGAAATCAAATCCAGAGCCTCAAGCATCCCAGGCAAGGGCTTTTTCAGTATACTACATTCCCATTCCTCTCCCTGAATTTTAAAGGGAAGGTAATCTCTAAAACTTAGGGATCTCCCAGCACCAGACATTTGGCTGTGTTTTCAGGTATTCCACCACCAACATGCCTTTTTCTAATGCAAATGGACTAATTATACTAGTCACTGAAAAAAGGATCCATTCTTTACACATTTGTTCAGAAAGCACAGGTTGAGAGAAAGCTTCTCAGTCCTTTGACTCTAGCATTACCCGATACCAAAACCAAAGAAAGTACAGGAAGAGAACAGATAACTGAGTTCCAGCAACTCAGCTTGTCCATGACAAAGTGTCCAGAGTCTGGAAAACAGTAGCTAGGAGAGGAATCAAAGTGTGTTGGAGTTAACCTGGAAACCACAGGGAAACCGACAGGAGAAGAAAGTAGGATTGATACAGAAGAAACAGCTCATTCTGTAGAGGAGGGACTGCCCAGCACCACCAACAGTGGCTGGCTAGACACCATCTGGGAGACAAGGTGAAACTAACAGCTTTTTTGCTCATGGAGAACAGGGACCAGGAAAAGTATGAGCAGTGGGAAGCGGCGGAAAGAGCATGGGACCCTGCTCCTGGAACGGCCGTGTGTAGGCAGTGGTTGGTGAGTGACCTTGCTACCAGTGCCTGTAGTTGTAGTCACAAGAACAGGAGCTGGTGGGGACGCCATTGTAGGGAAGGGTTAGAGTAAACGTGTCTGTTTATACCCTTCCAACTTTTATCTGTATCTCTTCACCTGCATTTTCCTGTCTTATTGAAGATTTTCTTTCTTTGCCTTTTTATTTCTTTCCCTTTAACTTTTTCTCTAATGTTAATATCAGTCATAGAATCTTCTCCCATCCCCATTTCTCACCACCAATTTTGTATGCAGTTTTCCCTGTTACCTTCTAAATATATAATATACCCTTACCATTGTTAGAATCCTTTGCCATCCTATTTCCTCATACAAGAAAGTAGAGAACTTAAAAAAGGGGGAAGAGGAGAAAAGAAAAACATTAGCATTACCCAGACCCTAACCCCCTAGGATTTAGATAACTGATTCTATAAATTACTGTTGCATGCTGGTTTTCACCATTAGAGGAGTTGTCAGGAAAAGGGTTAAAAATGATGAGAGTCATTGGCATGTTCGTGTTTGCTAAAGTGACCCCGACTGCTGCCTGACGGCACAGAGGCTATGTCCTACAAGGGGAGTGTGCAGAGATGACTTGTTATCCAAAAGACTTAGCCTTCCCAGGCTATCGCCAAGGCTAGGAATGATCCCTTAGCCACATGGGCCTGTTGGCACCAAGTCACTTTTGTCTGAACACAGTACTTAAGACACTGACAAAGTGAACACAGTGCAACGTTTTCTTTCTCGACTGCCAAAGGCTGTCTCATATACAGTCCTTCCCCAGAGGATTCTCCATCTTTGATGCTGTCCCTTGCCTTGTTACATGGTAATATATTATTTGACTGTGCTCATATCTGCTGTACTTTTATAATAAACTTACTTTCATCTTTTTCAAATTATTGTCTGGCTCTTCTCTGTTCATGTGGATCCGAACCTCAGATTTCTGTGGCCACATATATGTGACTCCTTGCTGCCACAAGGAGACACACCCATTGAATGAGTGCACATTAACTGTGGGTCAAGACTTGCGTTCTTAATGATGCTTACACCATAACCATGCATTTTTTCTCAGACTAAAGGAGACCCAAAGCAGGGTCTCGTGTTATGTTACTTTTCAAAACTCCCTAATGGATACCACTGTAGCAAATGAGCCTGTTAATTGCTGTGGATGATTTGATTGCATAGGAATATAATCCTGACTCGGTAGACAGTTTCATGCCAGTGAACCTGTCTGCTGAGTCCACCATCACACCCAGGAAGCAAGATAGCAAGAGTTCCTAACCCAAGAACTCAGACTGGATCAAACTTTGCAAGAATCCCTGCAGCCTGGCAGAAGTCCTGAGTAAGACTTCCCTTCAGTATTGTGGTAGAGGGATCAGAAGAGTTATTAGGGTGTGAGCCCTCGAACTCTGGCAAAGAAGCTACTGGGAATCACATATGCAGTGTCTCATTGGAATATTTAATCTGGGTTCCCACTGGACATTTTATAGGCTTAGCTTGTATGTTTCTTGATTTATTTAGTAATATGGAGTTGTGTTATATTCTATTGTTTCCTGTGTTTATTAGGTTATTACTTTTGCATATTTGTTCTTTCATGGGCTCTGATTTAACAGGTATCCAAGTTCTCTTCCATGTCTCATCTCCCTGTCTAGTTTCTTCACCTCAAACCACTGAGACAGTTTTATTAACACATTTCTTTATTTTTCCAAATACATAAACTCCTCCCTCAAGTTTTTGCATTCCCCATACTTGGCTCCCTCATGGTCTTCTGTAATATTGCTCCTCACTTCTCCCCATCATAAGCTTTTGGCTCTTTCTTCCATGTCATTTCTGACTTCGTCCTCCCCATAGCAAGTCTAACGACCACATAGCTTTCCTCAATCACAAAGTAAAACCCCTTCCTCCCATACCTCATCCTTGCCCTCATAAAAATCCTCAGAATTCTCGGTACTGACCCTTCAACTCAAGTAAAAGTACTCCAATAAAATCAGACCCCCCACATCAACCTTTTCTTCTCATCTACCACTCTTCCCCCTTCACATCTCTCCTGTAGTGTCTGAAACCCTTATCCAAGCACTTCCCACTCTCCCTACCCCACTTCACCTAGCTCACTGCAGAGCAAGTGCAAATAGTAAGGTATCATAGTGTACACAGAGAATAGACGAGGAAAGAGTGACTGCAGGGACTATCACAGTAAATCATAAAATTAAATCTGTGGATGTTGTTATAACCAGAAGTAAATATTTTTGCAAGACAGAGGCAAAATCACTTAAGGTAAATAACAGAATGAACAGATACTAGCACTGGATATAAAAAAGATGAAAACTGGGGAGGCAACATTCTACAAATGTTTACATAAGCTACAAACTCTCTTCACTTCTGTACTCCCCAGCCCCCCAAAAAGGCGCTACATACAACTTTTATTTTAAAAAATATATATGTGAGTATGCCACCCAGCCAACTCTCGCAAGGCAGAGCCCCTAGCCAGAGAAAGCAAGAAAAGACATCAATGCAATTAGCAATGAAAAAGGCGAAATAACAATAGACACTGGAAATGCAGAAAATAGGTAGTAACTACTTTGAAAAATTATATTCCAACAAATGAGCAAATTTTTGAAGAAATGGGCAGATTTCTGATCACATACCACTAAAACTAACCTGGGAAGACATAAATATGCTT